ATTTTTTAACATCCCATTTCCTCATATTATCGTTATTATTACAATATCGCCGGCTATGGATTTAGAAAACAAATTTATTTCCTTTTTATAGGCTTTGGTACAAGGAATGGTTGGATATAATTTTTAGTGGAACCTGTATCTATTAAAAATTTTACTATTATATCTTGCCACTCATCAGTCTGCATTGAAAGTAATGCAGCGAAGAGCGATTAAGTCCAAAAAATTGAGGTCAGATTCGTCAAGGTAATTTTAGTCTTCACTTAAATAAGACATGTCTCATTTAAGCTTGTTAGTCTGGCCGAGGTAGTGTATTGTGTGACTGCTGCGGATGAAATTGACGTAAAGTCTGAAAGCTAGGTTGTTGAGGCTTGTGATATTTCGGGGCAAACAGTATTGTTTAACCTTCCCGCAGGGAGATTTGGACAAAAATTTCGATGGTTACTTGGTTGATGATGTGTGTTGTAAGCATATTTATAAAGACGATCTAAAGTTTTGATTTTCTAATTTCAGATATAAATGTAGAGCCTGAAGAAGATCTGTTGCTATCTCATACCAAAAACGCTTTTGTGAATCAACTTTTAGTCAGCCTTACTTAATGAAAGATAGAATTTTGTAGAAATTGTAATAAAAAAAGTAAATAGTCTTACATAATCCTCAAACAAATGGTCGCTCATCTTCTTCGTAAAACCGCAGCTCTATGTTCTTTCCTGTTGCACACATAACATGCTTCCATTTCTATTTATATTTTTTTAAATATTTTTTACAAACACAGGCATCCAAATTTATTTTTATTTAATCTATTTATATTTCAAAAATCATGAGGACACAAATAATTTTATAATAGTTTTTTTTTTGGTTAGTTTAGGCCACTTGAACAATTTGAATAAGCGCTTACAATTTCGTTGCGCTTAAAAATGTTAAATTATAATGTTAAGCTCCTAGGAAACTCTTAGGTCCTTTGTCCTTTGAACAAGCTATCGAGTTAGGCGCCAATTAATTTTAATTTGTATGGCAATAAAACTTACTTATTTTACGAGGTGTAACAATTAAGTAATGAGACTGTTTCCATAAAAGTCGTATATTTCAAAATTTTTCTAAAACTTTCCCATCCTCTTCAAAGTAGTACCCTTGAGCAACCATACAACGGTTCAAGCGCGTTTTGAGTACTTTGTAACATTTCTAGAACGTTTCGACTGGGATGTCCGCGAGTACCTTCGTCACGGCCGCCTGGATGCCCTCAATGGACTCAAAATGGGTTCCTTTGATCACCGATTTCACTCTAGGGAACAAAAATAAGTCACACGGTGACATATCGGCCGAATAAGACGGTTGTTGGAACAGAGCGATCCCTTTAGAGGCCAAATACTGGGACACGCTGAGGTCGGTGTGGCGCTGCGCTTTGTCGTGATGAAGGATCCTGTAACGAGTGAGTGTGAACAACATTTGGTTTGATCTTTGCAGAAAATGGTTCAACTTTCGAAAATGATGGTTCAGTTTTTTGCAGATAAAGTCCAGAAAATTTATTATTTTTTAATTCCTCTCTAATTAATCTTATTGAATTTTGCCAATTAACATTTGTTTAATTTCCTACATACGTATCTTGTTTTATATTATTGATTAACTTATTTATAATAGTGGTAATATTATTAAGTTTTTCATTGAGTATTTCATGTACATTAATTGTTTATCATTTTTATTACCACAAAGCAGTATCTTTTAACTCTTACCACTGGTGGGGGAAATTATAAGACTCTCTTTGCGGGAGAATCAATTCGTTCTAATTTTATTTTTACTTAATTTGGCTTTATATACAATTTTTTAAAACTATCCTTACTGACTAATTACATACGTTTGTGTGGGGAACATTTTTGACACACAAGTACATAATTTATGATTATTTGAATAAGATGCATTTATATGCACTCTTATGCGTTTGGGCCTATTGCTGTAACAAGCAATGCATTATAGTTTCTATGTTTATGTTTGTACATATGTATATGAATGTGTGTTTGCTTATCTGGTATGTATGTATTTATGTACATACATGTATGATATATGTATGATGTACGCTAATGTAATGTATGTATATCCTTATCGGCATACAATACTTATTGATATTACTTATCTAAACTAAACATGTTCAATGATATTTGAACATATTGCCGAGGGCAAATTATCGCTTAGTACTATGGTTTTCTTCGGTATATATGTGTGGACTGTATGCATTTTATTATTTTACTGTTCATGTCGGTATGTATACATTCTTCGATTTCTTTATATTTATCTATGAACATTTTGCGGGCGTGAAAGATTAATCGTAATTTTATCTTTATTAATATTTTTGAGGATTTCCGATTGATATCTGTTTATTTGTGTGTTTATGTTTGTGAATTGCATATTCACTTCATCAACATTTTTTTTTATTATGTTTGCCGTAGAATTTATCAATGACACTTGAACTTTCAATCTTTCTTTGATATTGTGTTGGTTGTTGAGCAGTGTTCTAAGATTTGACTCTATTTGTTCTTGATCGTCTTCATCTATTAACCCGAATAATGTATTGTAAATGGAGCCAATCCATTCTAATGGTGCTCTTCGTTGCCTATTGTTATACGCAATCAAATTGTGATTGCGTTTTATTGTTTCATAACGCCTTCCTATAGAAAGCGATATAACCATGCATGCTTCCTCAAATTCTGATAACAGGCTGCAATGACTCTTTATGCGGTTCACACAGTTTTGTATCATATTCATTTGCTCAAAATATGAGTGTAGATCATAGTGTATTACCAAATTCCAAGTTGAGGTTATGACATCCATCTTTCCCAGTGAATCCAAATAGATGGCTGAGTTGTCTGGAAGTTGGGAAATTACTCCATTACTTTCTGTGTGACTGTCGACTGCTTTGACTGCATTATTTGACGTTAAACAGTAATATGAGTATAAACGCAAATATGTTTTTATTTGTCATTTGTTTTGCCGATTTCGTTGTTCTTAATGTAGTGAGTACTTGCGGTTTTGCTTCATCCATTGATTTTTCCTGACTGATGTCTGACGATGTAACCAAGGGACATAATTTATGGATTGGTCGTTTCAGCACACTATTCTGTAGTTTAGGCGTTACTACACGAACTTTTCCATCTCGTCCTGGGCTACATTCTATAACTCTGCCAAGCGGCCATTTAGCTGGTTGAGTATTTTCATCTTTTATAATTACAACGTCACCTTCTTTTAAATTTTGTTTTGACGTTTTCCACTTGTTTCTTTGCTGAAGTGTGTGTAGGTATTCATCCTTCCAACGTTTCCAGAAATCAAGCTGGATTTTTTGTATTATCTTCCATTTGTTCAAAGTGGATATATTTATGTTAGATTCGGTAGTTGGTATGGATATTAATGGTCTCCCAATAAGAAAATGGCCTGGAGTCAAAGCGTTTATTCCGTTTTCATCATTTAAAGCATATAATCGCCGTGAGTTTAATGATGCCTCAATCTGTGCTAATACGGTTGACATCTCCTCAAAAGTCAGCTTTGTTTCTCCAATTGCTCTTTTTTGATGAAATTTCATCCCTTTCACACCAGCTTCTCATATTCCGCCAAAATGTGGCCCTGCCGGGAGAATAAAATTCCAAGTGATTGCTTCATTGGCTAAGATTGGTGCAGCTTCACAATTTTGTTTTATTTCTTTTTTAAAATCGCTTTCAAGCCATCTGTTAGCACCCACGAAATTGGTTTCATTGTCAGAGTAAATATGCAAAGATTTCCCTCGTCTGCCAAAAAGTCTTCTTAGTGCCGCCAGAAATGCTTCTGTTGATAAATCGCTAACAGCTTCCAAATGTATGGCTTTGGTCGAAAGACAAACAAATACAGCGATGTATCCCTTGAATGTTTTTTGTCCTCGCCCTTTAGAACACCTCATTTGAAAAGGTCCGGCATAGTCTACTCCAGTAGAGGGACTGGATGTCGACACTCTGAAGAATAGAAGATCACCCATAAGTTGTGTTGTAGCATTTTGCTTGAATCGTATGCATTTATAACAGATACGTATACAATGTATCACTGCATTTTTTAATCCACTTATCCAGTATTGCCGCCTGATGACTGCTTCTGTTAGCCGATTTCCACCATGTATGATTGTAAGATGAGCATCTTTGACTATTAATGTTGTCAAAATTGTTTTTGGTAAGATTATGGGATGCTTTGCATTATATGGTAGCTCTGAATTTGTTAGCCTACCTCCTACTCTTATTATGCCATTTTCATCCAAGAAGGGGTTAAGGATTGCTATTTTGCTAGAACTATTTACTGGTTTTCCATTATAAAGTTTGTTCATTTCTTCTTTAAAGGTTTTCCTCTGCGTTTGGCGAATGATCGTCGAAGTAGCTGCTTGAAGTTCCTCAGCCGATAGATATGAAAATTTGCGTGTTTCCTTTTTTATACGAAAGTGTATAATGTATGCTACCACTCTTTATAGTTTTAACCAACTTGAATATTTGTTAATTAAATTGCCCATGAAAGAATCTTGACTTTTTGATGCCAATAAAACCGTTACTTTGTTGTATTCTTTTATGATTTTTGATTCTTGTTTTTCTGTTGATGAAAGCCATTTGGGTCCGCTCCATCAAATATCAATATTTAATAATTTGGGAGGGGGTATACCTCTTGACGCTATCTGGATTATCTTTCGTGCTCACGTGTCTCCAGGTTACTTGTGGAATAAGTTTTTTAATTTCTTCTACTCGATTTCTAATGAATTTATCTTTGTTCTTCGGAATTGCAATCCAGCCTAGGGTTATTGTTGAATCACTATATGCATAAGCGATTGTGCGATGATCACACAAATTTTAAATATCAATTTTGCTAGTAAATGAGCAGCACAGAGTTCAAGCTTGGCCAAAGTTTTCCGATTTTTTAATGGATTAACTTTCGTTTTGGTAGTTAAAAGTTTTACGGAATCGCCAGCTTTTACATATATTACTGCATCGTACGCCTTTTCAGAAGCATCACCGAATCTCTACTTTACAAACCATATTAGTTTCAATCCAGCGTGGAATACGTACTTCTTCCAATGTGCTAACAGTGTCAATAAACAGCTTCCATTCGTTTTGTAGATCGTCAGAGAGCTGGTCATCCCATCCAGTCTTTTCAATCCAAAGTTTTTGCATGTATAATTTTGCGACCACAGTGATTGGTGATAACCAGCCCAACGGATCAAATATTTGGGCGATTTGTGACAAAATACTTCTTTTTGTCATTTTCTTTGGCATTCCCAGATTAATTCTGAACTGGAACTGATCTTGCTTTGGGTCCCAGTATAGCCCAAGTGTTTTCACTGCTTCATTTTCTTTTATTTGAATTATTTCATTTTCTCCAATGTTGGTGATATTTTTGGTTATATTGTTAAAATTGGATAGCCATTTCCTCAAATGAAATCCAAATAACTGAAGATGCTTTCTGATTTCTTTTTGGATCATAATACATTGGTTAACCGAATCTCCACCAGTCATGAGATCATCCATATAAAAATCTTCCTTTATGATTTTTTGTAACCATTTGTTTTCACTTGAACACTTGTTGGCAATTTCAAACAATGTGCGCGCTGCTAAATATGGTGCTGAAGCGGTACCATATGTCACTGTCGCCAACTCGTATTCCTCTATCTTATCTGAAGGATATTCCCGCCACAAAATTCGATGATACACTTGATCTTTTTTTGAAATTTTAATTTGCTGGAACATTTTTACAACATCGGCGGTGATTACTACTTTCCATAGTCTCCACTTGAGAATGATATCAAATACATCCCTTTGAAGTTTGGGTCCTGTCAACATGATATCATTTAGGCACTTTCCATTTGAAGTTTTTGCTGACGCATCAAAGACAACACGAAGTTTTGTAGATAATTTTTCAACGCGTATAACAGCCTGGTGTGGCAAGTAATTTATCATATGACCAAGGTTTTGGTACTCGTGAATGAATTCTTTGTAATCATTGCAAAGTTTTTCACTTTTTTTGAGTTTTGCTTCCGTGGATAACAGCCGAGCAATTGCCTGCTTACGAGATTCATCCAGCTCCATGTCGTCTTTAAATGGAATTTCCATAATGAATTGTCCGTCTGCATCTTGCTTAGTGGTTTCCTCGAACTTGTTTAAACATATTTCGTCTTCCACTTTAGTTTTATCATCTTGTTCTTCCTCTAGCTCCCAAAATCTTTCAAGGTTGGTTACTGCCGAAGTAATTTTGCTTGGTTTCTTTTGCTTAATTATTCCAGATAAAATCCAACCAAATTTCGTAGCCTGTGCAAGAACGCCATTGTGGTTTCTTATGCATTTTTCTATTATTCTGCTAAATATATCACTACCTATCACCATGTCAATTCTATCAGTTTTGTTAAATAATGGGTCAGCAAGAGTGTAGTTTTCCCATTTTTTAAAACTGAATCTAAAATATTGATCTGGTTCTGCAGTTGTAAGAGATGATAAAATTACGGCATCCCCTTCTTTGACGTGTTGACTCAGAAAACGAGGTGTAATTTGCACTTTAATTTTAAATTTTGATTCGCCAACCACAATACCTCCTAGGCCATGAAGCTTTGTCATCACTTTTTTCTTTGGTACACCTAGTATCTGTGCTGCTTCTTCAGAAATTGATGTTATTTGTGATCCTTGATCAATAAGAGCCCTTAATAATATGTGCTCTCCATTTGCGGCTTTTGCTCTTACTTGAGCTGTGGCTAGAATTACCGTTGTTGAATCTGCGTTTGTAGACATTGCTGACTTCTTTTGAACGTTTTCGAAGTGCAGGAGCTCATGATGAGTACTGATGTTGCATATTTTGCAATTCATATTGCTGGTACAAGTTTCTCCTGATTTATGAAGTAAACACCTGTAGTAGAGTTTATTGGTTTTGGCATATTTATGTCTTTCATTAGTTGATATGCCCTTGAAACTTCGACATTCTGTTACATTATGATTTGACATTTTGCAGTAAGTGCACTGCCTGACTGGATACCTCGCATTTGTCGACGTGTGGTTCGCCTTAAGTTCTGCGTTCGGAATTTGTTACTTTGCTCCTTTTCAGCAACAGCTTTTAATGTTTGGAAGTGTTAATCCAGAAAATCTCTAATATCGGATATCGCACCTCTCTGGTCTTTTTCACCGTTTGCTCATATAATTTGAGTCCATCTTTGTCCAGCTTCCCAACTATGACTCGAGCAATAAATGGATCTGCGTTTTCAATTTGTATTCCTAGTAACTGCGTTAAGACACTCATTTGTAGTATCGTATCGTTGATCCATTATTCTGTCCCACTGTGTTGTGAATAAAATACGTTTATTATCGTATCTTTGTTTAAGTAGATTCCATGCTGCTTCATAATTTTCCGTTGATATCTGTAAATGTTGTATCAACCTTGCAGCTTCACCCTTCAAACAATTGCGCAGGCGTAACATTTTTTCTGAGCTTGATAATTGCTCAATTTTGAAAACCATATCTTGGAACACATTGTAAAAGTTAGCCCATTCTTTTATATCGCCATAAAATTTTGGAACTTTTAATTTTTCTAATTCCAAATTTGGCCTATAATTTTCTTTAAATTCTTCTTACTCTAGACATCTTTCCAAATGTCTCATATTTTCGAAATATTCTTCTCCTACCTTCTTATAGGCATCTTCAATTTGAGCACTGAAGTATTTTGAGAATTCATTCCTGTACGCATTTTTTATGTCGTCGAATAAACTTTCCAATTGTTTGACTTGGTATTTACTGATTGTGCTCTCGAAGCGCATATCAGTCTTTTTATTTGTTAAATCTTGAATTTTCATCATGAAAATTTCAATTTTTGGATCACTCATGTTTTTTGTTGGTGGTGCTGTTGTTGGTGTTTGTTGCATGCGCACATTTTTTGTTTGCGATGGTACTTCATCATTGAGGGAGCGTTTGAACCCTTGTATTATTTCATCTTTTTGTATTCTTATGGCATTGTACCTGTCTTGTATGAAATAGTCTTTATTGCCAACGCCATCCGCTAAAAGTTTTTCGTTATTTTCATCTAATTCCTTCTGGAATTTTTCAACCGATTTTATAATATCTTCGGCTTCTGCTCTGGTGATTTTAATTCCTGCGACACCATTATAAATCTGCAGTACTCTTTAACTTATGTCCATTTGGCTTTCAAGGAGTTTTCCTCTGTTTATACCCATGTTTTTGTTTTTATTTATTTATGTATGTGATTATTTAGATTTTTTATTCTTCAAAGGAAACGTTGGAGGTAATTGTTTTGGTCGCCCGGTTGACCTTGCTGTGCCTCTATTCACAGCTGATGATTTTCCTTGGAATTATAATCCATTATTTTGCATATATTTTTCTTAATATATGGCTTACTTTGGTTTGAGCTCAACTTGTTGGTTCGATTGGACCAAATGTTATTACCACAAAGCAGTATCTTTTAACTCTTACCGCTGGTGGGGGAAATTATAAGACTTTCTTTGCGGGAGAATAAATTCGTTCTAATTTTATTTTTACTTAATTTGGCTTTATATACAATTTTTTAAAACTATCCTTACTGACTAATTACATACGTTTGTGTGTGGAACATTTTTGACACACAAGTACATAATTTATGATTATTTGAATAAGATGCATTTGTATGCACTCTTATGCGTTTGGGCCTATTGCTTGTTACAGTGCATTATAGTTTCTATGTTTATGTTTGTACATATGTATATGAATGTGGGTTTGCCTATCTTGTATGTATGTATTTATGTACAGACATGTATGATGTACGCTAATGTAATGTATGTATATCCTTACATACTTGCATACAATACTTATTGATATTACTTATCTAAACTAAACATGTTCAATGATATTTGAACAATCATTATTATTACATAATTCGTTTCAATTATTAGTTATATTGTAGTTTCAAGATCTTCTAGATCTGGGGATCCGGCGATAACTTTCCAAGCCGTTCCTTAAATGTTAATTGATATTTTATGTCTTCTGTGAATCAGTCAATGTCCAACAAAAATTGTTCATTGTCAATTACATGTCCGAAGCTGAAAACTCCCTCCTGTATTTTTACTAATACGTCCTTTATTGTAACAATTTGTTTGTATGAGTAGTCGTAAATCTCTACTGTTACTAAGACAGAGTAGATTAGAAGTCTGAAAAAAAATTAGTATTGGTTTTTAATGTTGTTTTTGTGAACTATTTTCTGTTAAGATTATTGAGCTTTTATCTTCTTTTAATACTATTTTTTTAAATTTTGAGGATATTTTCGTGCTTCTCTTGTTAATTTTAACGTAGATGGTTTCACCAGGACGATAAATTCTAAGTCTACGATGTTTGTTAGAATAAATAATATCTGTTTCCTGTTAGCGTATTTATTCCGAAATATTTTTTTATCCTGCTTTCTCAAATTGAGCGGGGTCCGTAGATATTCTTCTTCCGAAAGATACTTCCATTGGGTTTTTTTAGTGGTTGAGTGGACTATATACAATAATTATATTCGTAAACAGAGTTATCTAGAAGTTCGGCATTTAAACAACACAATACATATTTCCGTGAGCGTCGAGTGAAATCGTTCCACTTGGCCATTTACGGAACTTGCTTAAGGAAGAATTTTGAAAATTTTGATATTTATAGTATCCACTATTAAAAATATTATGGTTGGTGAATTTAGAGAGGTTTCATTGTCAATAACAACTGGTTCTGATACGCCAAATTGCAAAAGTAACTCACGGAGACGTGCTTTAATATCCTCTATCGCTCTTGATTTAATAGTTTTAGTTTGCGCATAGTTTTGTATATGTCTATGTGTAAAATTTGTCCAGAAAGTTAGAGCATAAGTGCATCTCTGCTTTATTGGGATGACGATCGTATTTGCTTTCGTTACATACTAATCATTGTTGGATTATTCTTTTAAATATTCCGGTCATTACTGAAGTGCTAATTCGACTTTTTGAAATTCATAGAAATTCTATAATAACTATATTCTTGTCCTGTTGTTAAAAAGAATGGTTTTTGAAAAGGTTTATTGGGGTTTATACTAATGAATTTAAATTGTCCGAAAAGCTGTCATCACTAGTTGAGTACTTGATAAAGAGTTATTTGGTTCTGTTGGCATTCGTGATAAGGCATCAGTTACAATATTGGTGAAGCTCATGGTTGTATTCTTCAAGAAATAAGTTCCAGCGTTTCATTTTGGAGTTTTTTTTTGTTACTAAGTGCTTGAATTAAGGGTTGAACTATAGAGGTAGTTTTTGAAATTATTTAGAGCCCATATTGTTGCAAGATATTCTTTTTTGTTTGTAGCTTAAGCTTCTTTTGTTTTATTTAAGGTTCTGAAGAGAAATGCGATAGATTTTCATATCTTGAGAAAAGACTGCTCCAAAAGCATAGTTTGAAGCACCGGTGACAAAATGGAATTCATTGTTGAAGTCAGGATATAAAAGTACAACACCATTGGACATAAGGGAATTTTTAATTTTGTTAAAAGCGTCTTTTACTTTGCTATTTAATTTAATGTTTGTTTTAGTGGATTCATTTTTGGATACGTGGCCTTCCTCCTCTTAGTAGCATTGTTAGGAAGGATTATTTTATTATTTATACCTTCTGAAGAAATAACGAATCCTCAAAATTCGACAGTCTTAAAAAAATATAATTTGTCCAAAAGAATTTTCATTTTGGCGTCTTTAAGAGTTTGATGATTTTTTGTAGGGTGGAGGACGTTTACTAACGCTTACTAATTCGAGGTATTGGGTAGTGATCTGTAATAGTCATTGCACTTAGCTTGCGATAATCAATTACAATTTGTTATTTATTAGTAACGCAAACAGGCGAGATATATGTTGACCTTGACGGTCGAATATACCATCATCAAGCATGTTTTTAATTCGAAATTCAACCTCATTTTTAAGGACATAGATTAGGGATAATGCTTTGTATATACGATGGTGTCCTTGTTGAAAATAAAATCACCTATGACGTTTTTGATATAAGTAAGTCTCTCATTTGGTTAAATTTACCTTCTTAATATTAATTGAAAGAAATGATTTTGATTCTTATTGTTTAATTTTTATTTTGATACTGCCTTTATTACCATGAAATCGTCTTTGATGTGGATAACAGAGCTTCGACGCTTTTGAGACTGTCATTCCCAAGAATGCCATAAAGTGAACGGAGTGATGGAAGAAGACAAAATTTTAATTTTTTGTCTTCAGTAATAAGGTTAAGAAAGGTTGCATGATAGCAACGCTTAGACGATAACCAATATAACATATCTTGAAGAGACAAATGGCTCGAAAAATAAATTCAAGGGTATTTTTTAACATCCCATTTCCTCATATTATCGTTATTATTACAATATCGCCGGCTATGGATTTAGAAAACAAATTTATTTCCTTTTTATAGGCTTTGGTACAAGGAATGGTTGGATATAATTTTTAGTGGAACCTGTATCTATTAAAAATTTTACTATTATATCTTGCCACTTATCAGTCTGCATTGAAAGTAATGCAGCGAAGAGCGATTAAGTCCAAAAAATTGAGGTCAGATTCGTCAAGGTAATTTTAGTCTTCACTTAAATAAGACATGTCTCATTTAAGCTTGTTAGTCTGGCCGAGGTAGTGTATTGTGTGACTGCTGCGGATGAAATTGACGTAAAGTCTGAAAGCTAGGTTGTTGAGGCTTGTGATATTTCGGGGCAAACAGTATTGTTTAACCTTCCCGCAGGGAGATTTGGACAAAAATCTCGATGGTTACTTGGTTGATAATGTGTGTTGTAAGCATATTTACAAAGACAATCTAAAGTTTTGATTTTCTAATTTCAGATATAAATGTAGACTCTGAAGAAGATCTGCTGCTCTCTCATACTAAAAACGCTTATGTGAATCAACTTTTAGTCAGCTTCATTTAATGTAAAATAGAATTTTGTAGAATTTGTAATAAAAAAAGTAGATAGTCTTACATAATCTTCA